TCTGTTTAAAAATCTATCGACGGTTAATCGAGCTAACCCGGCAATCCCGTTGATCGGCAATTTTAATCTCCTCTGGTAAAAATGTCTCTCGGTGAAATCTTGACACAATTGTCCTCCGTGCTACACACCGGGGGACGATTAACCTTCCCGCTCTGAGACTACTCTCTCTCTCTCTCTCTTTCTCTCTTTCTCTCTTCGGGATTCAGGTCAGATTAGGCTGCGGCGAGGGCGTAGTCGCGGAGGTGTACGAGGCTGTGTCCTATATGAATGCCCAACACTCCAGCGTTTTCACCACGAAGTCTTCTCGGGGCGCGAGCGGCTCGTTCCCGTACGTGCTGCACGTTTGTGTCCTGCCTTGGTACAGGTCCCCGTCCAGCCACAGTCCGAATTTTCCACTGTGAAAGGGCAAAGGTCGTCTGTTAGCTTCGTGGAATTTCAATCGACCGAGGACAGACTACTCGTGTCAGTAATTTCGAACTATTTCTAAAATTTTCGTGTTTAGCGATTCCATCGCTTCTGACATGAACATTGTAAATTCTATTTACACGCTCCGCTTACGCATACGATTATATAGTTAACGCTATATTATTATAAAAAATGATAATGAAAAATATTAATGGAATTGAGGAACGTACAATTTTTAATTATTTTTCTTGAATATTTTGAAGATTCAATTTGAAAATTGGCTAAAAAATTCACAAGTTATTCGTGTTTATTGTAATTAATGTAACAAAACAAACATGCGACAAGAAAAATTCGTGCATTTAGATAGACTAAATAAAAATGGTCGTGTATTCAATCTGTCATTGAAACGGCTTACTAATATTAATATTAATCCTTTGCACTCGAGACCCTTTTTCGCGCGGCGAACCAGCAACTCGAGACAAATGTTTTGCAGCATTTTTGGCGAATTTCTTACCCCTAACTTAAAATTATTAAACACACAAATTAACGTACAAAACTTTTTATATTTTAACATTTTATACACCTTTATGAAGGCATAATTATTTGTTTCAATAACTATTTCATTGGTAAAAAACAGTTTGAAAAAATCCAATGGTTCTTTCTTATCTGGG